TTTCGGTGTTATTTTTGACCCTAGATTAAAATTAGAAGGTTTAGAAAGTGGATTAGATAACTTATGTGAATTTTTAGCTATCGACACTACTGACCAATTTCCTATTATAAAGGAAAAAATATATTCTCTATATATCACTTATGAAAGTAGGTTTAGAAACATACCTCGTGTTGAACAACCGCAACAACGAGATGACAATCCGCATTCATTCTTGAATGTTTTCGGGTTGTCTAAGAAGAAGAAGAAGACGACAACGACGACTCAAGGTCAAGAAGAATTTAGGAGTGGATCTTCATTAAGAGGTGGCGGCAGATTCAACGAGTTAATGGCGTACCTGAGTGAGGACTTAGTTATAGACAGTAGTGAAATGTTTGATTTGGTTGAGTGGTGGAGGGCACGAGCATTAACTTGGCCGATCCTAACACGATTGGCAATGGATATTTTTTCGATCTTGGTCTCCACTGTTGCAGCCGAACAAGCATTCAGTACAACCGGCCGAGTACTTGAAGAACGGAGAAACGCATTGCAGCAGGATATTGTTGAAGCTTTGGTGTACATCAAGGATTGAGATCGTTCCGACCAACGCTTATACGATACAATCTCACCGGCAAACCAAGAATGGATCGACGAATTTAATAGATTAACTTTTAATTTTCAAGACGATCCTTCTGCTTCAAATTAAATTTTATTATTCTAATTTGTAAATATTTATTTACTTTGTAATTTCTAATTTGTATAGTGTTATTGTAATCTTGTATAGACTTTGTAAGTTCGTCAAATTTGTAATTCGTCGCACAATGATTGCACTCTTTTTTCCTTACCAAGTTTTTATCCCAATTGGGTTTTTCTTGGTATGGTTTTATAACGAGGCAATCATGATTTACAAATTTAAAAATCAATGAAGAAATAATTTTTTTTATATAGCTCGTGTGTTCATTTCAAATTTTAAATTGTAATATATACATTATAATTATACAAATACAATATAAAAATATAATATAAATTTTTTTTGAAAATTCGAGCAGCCGGTCGGGCATCGGGCAGGCTGACCGGGCACAGGCAGGCACCTCCTGCCCGAAACCCGTCCATGGCAATTTTCGGGTCGGGTCGGGCAGCCCAAATTTTCGGGTTTGGTACTCAGGCAAAAATTTAGACTTTTCGGTGGTCACGGGCGGCCCGTCCAAAATTTCAGCACGAATTCAAAGTATACTAATTGACGAAAACTATAGGGAAAATAACACGTATTACATAATTACTTGCGGAAGTAAACAAAGAAATATCAACGCATGGAAAAGTAATCCTTCTCACCTGACTAAAAATAGTTCTTTTCCCCTCTACTTGGCACAAAAACGTGCTTCAAAACCTCAAGCAACACTTTGGAATTTCAATGGCTTCCAAGGTTGTTGTTACTTTCATTTTTCTCATCCTATGTTTTCCTCTTGGAATCCAAAGCTCAACCTCAAATTCATGGATAAAAGCTGGCTATTATACTTCCCAAACAGAACTCCCCGTCTCCGACATAAACTCTGCACTTTTCAATCACTTAATTTTCGCTTTTGCGTATGTAAATTCATCCTCTTATGAGCTATCTATAAATTCCTCAGACTCTGGAAAGTTCTCTACTTTCACCAATCTCGTCAAGCGCAAGAACCCGTCTGTTGCAACCATTTTGTCCATCTGGGTTGGCAGAGAACAATCTTCAATTTTCTTCTCAAAGTTGTCCCAGCTTTCTAATAGAAAATCCTTCATTGAATCCTCAATAAGTGTAGCTAGGATTAATGGCTTTGATGGGCTAGACCTTTGTGGCATCGAACCGAGCACGAGCTTGAACATGACAGTTTTTGGAACCCTCTTGGAAGAGTGGCGAGTAGCCACAGATTCCGAGGTGAAAACAAAGAACAAGCCAAGACTGCTCTTGGTGATGTTGGCACATCCTAGGCCGAGTTTGCACTCGGTGAGTTACCCGATTGACGCGATGAAGAATAATTTGGATTGGGTTCATATAAAATCATATGACTGTTCTATGCCAACAAAGACTAATATCACTTTCCCTCAAGCTGCTTTATATGACCCTTCAAACCAAGGTATTAACACCAACAATTCACTCCAAGAATGGCTAGACAGAGGATTTCCTCCTAGTAAGCTTGTCTTGGGCTTGCCTTACCATGGCTATGCGTGGACCCTAGTGGACCCCAAAGACGATCCAATTGGCGCGTTTGCTTCCGGTCCAGCAGTTACCGCAGATGGGTCCATGGCCTATAGGTTCATAAAATGGTTCATCAGAAGTTATGGTTATGGAGCAGATTCTATTTATAATGATACTTATGTGGTGAACTTCTGCAGAATTGGGAAAAATTGGATTAACTACGATGATGTGGAGGCCATCAGGGCCAAAGTTTCTTATGCAAAGAAGATGGGACTTCTCGGTTACAACGTGTTTCAGGTCGGCAACGATGACGACAATTGGGCGCTCTCTAGGGCAGGTAGTTAACTTCTATTAGGAAAATTGGTGATCAGCTAGTGTTCTTTATGTTTTGGACATTGTTCCAATTGTGATTTTTTGTTTGCATCTTACTGACTATGATATTTGTTGCATATATATACTTATAGAACCAACTAATTTTTTACAGCACAAGAGGAACTAGATGGAAATCATCAACAAAACAAAAAACGATTATTGACTATTGCTCTGGTAACAGCTGCTATGCTTTTTCTCTTGCTCGGTACCGTCATCTTTTGTTTTACACGAAGGAGATTCGACTCAACATGTAATCATTTCTTATCTATGAATATCAGAGATTAGTAGCTGTATAGAATTGAACAAATAAGTAGGTACTAATATTTGTCTCTTTTTGTACTTTTTCGTCTTCCTTTACGGGTTCCAGGGATTAGGAAAGTCCTCAAAAGTACGCTTTATAGAACAATAACTGGTTCAGATGCTCGAGATCTTAACAGCAATACCCCTACGAAAGTATTAAGCTATGCGAGTATCAAAGTAGCTACAAATAACTTTTCAAGTCAAAATAAGCTTGGAGAAGGTGGATATGGACCTGTGTACAAGGTAATTTTCTACATCAATCCATCCATGCTTACTCCTTTCATTGGAACGGACTTTGAGACAAAGTATATGTTGGAAAATGGCTTGGTAACCCATTTTGAGGTACCATTATAAGGTTTAACTTTGAATGAGACCCGCATCGAACTAATGACGGGTCAAGTATTTGTGTGCGAGCACGTGTTCTACGAAAATAGCAAATCTGCCTTAAGGATACTGTGTGATACACGAAAGAAAGTTGTGTTTGGTGTTCAAAAGTCATACAACTATGGAATGAGTTACTTCGTACATTACTTTTTGGATTTCATATTGAAGTGTTTCTATACTCTTGTAGCTCTGAATTTGTATCTATTGCTTCGCTTTTTATTTTTTGAACTCCTAATTGATTAGGCTGCAATTACAGGATGCTTGAGTTGAAATTCGCTAACGCAACTAAATTTAGTTTTAATTCTAGAAGACCCTTGATTGATTCATTTTCTTTGGTCTTTGTAGGGTAAGTTTGCAAATGGGCAAGAAATGGCAGTAAAAAGACTTTCAAAAACATCAAACCAAGGCATTGAAGAGTTCAAAAACGAGGTTACACTTACTGCGAACCTGCAACATGTAAATCTAGTAAGAGTTCTCGGATATTGCACTGAGAAAGAAGAGAAAATGCTCATCTATGAATATATGCCAAAAAAGAGCTTGGATTTCTACCTCTTTGGTATGCACTTCTTATATACTTGTAATGTTCACTTTAAGTTGGAGAATGGTGGGCCTAAATGGAAAAATATCCTAAATTAAGAATAATGTTATAGGACATCGGTGGTACTGAGCAACCACCCTCTAATAGAATGAGTCCTATAGTATAAATCCCACTTTTTATTAGTGGTGGTACTTTAGCTCACATGATTGTCATAAATTGTGAGATCCACTTCTTTTCTTTTCTATCAACTTGGTTAGACCTAATGACTTTACACTTAACTCTGCAGACCCAGCAAGAAGGCATATTTTAGACTGGCAGAAACGTGTTAATATCATTGAAGGGATTACTCAAGGGCTGCTATATCTCCAAGAATACTCAAACTTTACAGTAATACACCGAGATCTAAAAGCGAGCAATATTTTGCTAGATGATGAAATGAATCCAAAGATATCAGACTTTGGTATGGCTAGAATTTTCAGAAAGGAGGAACATGAGGCAAATACGGATAGGATTGTTGGAACACTGTAAGTAAATAAATTTGAACATTCTATTGTATCTATAATGTATAACTCTTCTGAACGACAACTCACCATTTTCCATTAAACAATAAAAAATCAACTTGCAGAGGCTATGTTCCCCCTGAATATGTAAAAAGAGGCATATATTCAATGAAATATGACGTTTATAGCTTCGGTGTTACGCTTCTTCAAATCATTAGTGGCAGGAGAAATACATGTCTATATGGTTTAAATGAAAATTTAAACCTCTTAGAATATGTAAGTTGTTTAACCACATATCATTATGATTCATATGTTTTTATTTCTTTTTTATTTTTTTTATTTTTTATAATTACAATGCTAAAAATGGATTGAATTCACAACTAATTGATTTCAGGCATATGAGCTGTGGAAAGAAGGTCAAGGCGTGCAGTTCATTGAGTCAACACTAGATGATTCATCTTCGACTTGCAAAATACTAAGATGTATGCAGATAGCTCTATTATGCGTGCAGGAAAATCCTATTGATCGGCCGTCTATGTTGGCGGTTTCGTCGATGCTCAAGAGCGAAGCCGACGCCATTGTTACCCCTAAGAAGCCTGCCTTTTCAATTAAAGAAGAAGATGGTGAACATTGTAAGCTAAAAGTGAGGGATGAAACTTGTTCATTCAATGATTCAACAATTTCCCAAGTGGTACCTCGTTCATGAGACAAGCTGCTGTCTTGGTTGGACATATATTACATGTAAATGAGACTTTTCCGGATGTTGTTATTTTTTTTAAAGTGAATTAAAATGACGATAGATGTGTTAAAATCAACACCGACGAGTAGAAGTATTATACAATACATCCGGATGAGTAGAAGTATTATAATCTTACTCCTAGATATGTGGTAGAGTTATACGACACGTAAGCAGATGGTAGAAATATTATAAGGCCTGTTTGGAAGGTAGACTCAAATTATTATTTTTTATTTTGACGTTTAAAATTTAAATTTTTTATGAGAAGAAAACACTATAATAAAATTAATGATTTAAGTTTGAGTATACAAAACAAACGGGCTCATAGTCTTGCTACCTAGAGGACTCGTAATGTTATACTATCCTATGCCAGTGAGTGGTGATAATTTGCTCTTTACATGCTCAAATGTTTGAAGCCCAACCTCAACTATAAATGTAGTACGGCAAATTAGAGAAGCCGAAGTGAAGGTATAAGTGCGTTGAGTGCATATGTGAGAGAGTGCCCGTAAAAATTTTTTTTTTTTTTTTTTTTTTTTTTTTTTTTTTTTTATAAATATTTTGAGTGTTCTCTTTTGAATGTAATATAAGGATCATGATTTATTTACTATTATTACTATTATAATAATAGTTTTTTTTTTTTTTTGGTGCCCAAGTCTTGTGTTCTACAAGATGAAGAAGTAAGTTCAGTAAGGAATCACGGTAATTGGAAAATTGGTGAATTTCCATCTGTTGCCATTAAAAAAATGGAATTTCTTTGTGAAAAATCTGTTGATATAGCAGTTAATATGACAAATCTTCTAAAGATCTGTTGATTGATTAAGAATACAAAACAATGGGATAAATCTTAAAATCTATTGATTCAAAAAAAATATTAAATAATATGACTTCTATTAATATGTTGATTCATACTTGATGTCATGAAAATAGGCATCAACCATTCGTTAGTTTCACAGGAGATGAAGATCAATTGGAGAAAATAAGAAGAGTAAACCCTCTACTTTCATTCATAGGATCAGAATTAATTCGAAGACATAAGAGTAAATCGGAACAAGTAGGACACATGGCTAAATCTAGTCTAAGAGTTAAAAACCAAACCATTAAGAATGGGCGGATATGTTATATATTAAAGCCACATTTCCCAGCCAATAAGTAGGAATGAATGCAAGGAAAAAGGTTCCCTTTTCTTGATTTCCAACTTAATTTTCAAATACTAAATTGTTGTTTTGCACAAAGATTTTCAACTTAAAAATAGGATAATACCAAAAACATATCCCCTCTGTCTTATTTCATTGTTGCATTTCATCGTACATCACTACAACAATAAATGCCATTTGTGACGACATTTTTTGTGATGACAAATGTCATCGCAAATAATACAATATTTGCGACGATATGTCGTCACAATTAATCACCGTTACATAAAATAACCATGTCGTCGCTAATAACTTAAATGTCGTCACAAATAATTTTGGAGCGTAACTTTCAATAGCACGGATTTTTACCGCCAAGATAATCTATTTTTTACGATGATAAGTCGTCGCAAATAGTAAGATATTTGCGACGACAAATGTCGTCGCAAATAGTTTCAGGTTATTTGCGACGACATTGTCTCTTTGTCGTCGCAAATAATCTTTTTAAGATTTCACCAAAAAGTAAATGCGGGAAAAATGATCATTTGCGACGACTCAAAAATTATTTGCGACGAGATAATGTCGTCGCAAATAATTGACAGCTGTTACGTATTTGCGACGACATTTTAAATTTATTTGCGACGACAATGTCGTCGTAAATAAGTCTGATCTAATATACCATATCTTCTTCTTATTTATTTTTCCCGACGTTTTCTCTCTCTCTCCTGCAAAATCTCTCTCTCTCTGCTTCCTCTTCCCGCCGCAGGCCCTCTTCTTTCTCTCTCTCATCTTGGATGGGTGTAAGATGGCCTACCACAGTACCACTACATAATGATGTTCAGACGGAAAAATTTTTCTTTTTTCTTCCACTTGAAATGGTCCTTGACCGCAGATACGTGGTAACAAGTGTAATGGGTCCATGAAGAGACCATTTGTACGTGTTTGGAACCATTTTTGAAAATGATTTTCACGTATTTCGAGAAGTAAAAAATGAAAATGAAACGACGTTTGTTTAATAAATGTTTTAAAAATGAAAATGAAAGCGAAAACAGTAAGAATAATTTTTGTGAAGGAATTAGAAAACAGTTAAAAATTGTTTTCACTTTTTTGTTTTAATTTTTTAATACTTATCAATAATATTATAATATATTAATTAATAAACACGATTTCACTTTTTTATTGTACTCAAAATAATTTCTTAAAAAACCAACCAAACGTAATTTTAAAATCGGTCACAGAATAATTATCAAAACAATCTCATTTTTACTTTTTTATTGAAAACAAAATCATTTTGAAACCAATTCTAAACGCACTCTTTATGTCGTCTTTCTTCTCTAGCGCGTTCATCGAAAATTAAAGCGGCGTAATACCTTGTGTTATATTATCTAGGGATAATTTCAATTTAGACCCTGTGTTATAGTGAAAATATTTTTTAATATCCCGAGTTTTTGATAATTTTAATTTAGTACCTGAACATTTTAAAAAATCAGTTTTTGGTACTCTAAAGCCATTTTTTGAGACATGAAATGTCAAATTTTCCCTTTTTAATAACTTTTTATTTTGTTGACCCGAATTTACTATGTATTTAATGTTTTAATAAACTTTCTCTGTAACCAAATATCCTTTTTACCTTTAGAAATATTAAAAGCCTAGGTCTCGTTCATTTTACCGACTTGATACTAATTGCGACGACAGAATATTGAAAGACAATTTTAAACTATCAAAAAATACAGAATATTGAAAGACAATTTTTCTAAAACACAAAGTATTAAATTGAAATTATCCCTATTATCTATATTCTTGTCATCTATCACATAAATGTAATGTGTGAAGCCAGTTTGGTAGACAGATTCAAATAGTCAGACCATAAAAGTTAGAATCGCTATGTTTCCAACCTATTTGTCAAATGGGAAGTATAAATACCCAAAAAAAAAAAAAAAAGGAACTTGATCTAGATAATAATTAACATGTAACGGCCACGCTAGTAGCGTATTCTTTCTGCAGGAACTGATGAGGAAATTTTCAAGATTTTAGCATATTCTCACGTAGGGTCATATGCTAAATTTTTTTTTTACGCAAGAATTGAGATTTGAGTCGATATCCTGAGCATTATTTATTATATATATAGCTTCCAAACTCGTTACTGTACTTCTCATCTTCTTCTACATTTTTCTTCACTACTACAAATAGAAAATTAGATGACACTAGACTTCACACCTTTTGAGCTAACAATAGCAGACGACATAGCAATAGCAGCTCCTATTTCTTTTCTGTATACGCTAATATCTGTTTGTGATGAAATCTACTCTCACGTCTCATTTGAGGGTTGTCCCCAAAAAAAAAAACTCTTTTCATCCTAGCCTTCTTCCTTCATGCCCGAAAATATACAACGACGGTTTATAAACCAATTGCAGTTGTAGAATCGTTAAATACCATTTAATAAGTCATTAACCATTGTCAAATATATCATCTTTCGCGCTGTCAAATATATTTACCGTGTTCTTTCTATGTGATTTTGGTATGGGATTAGACAATGGTTTTTCAAGAATAATGTTTTAAAAGCATGAGATGTAATAAAAGATATTATTATTTATTTGATAAATGAGAAATTTCATTTTTTATGTGCATGTATTTTTTAATACTTTATGAATATCGTTGAAAATTCCACGATTATTTATGTAACCTTAAATATTGTGTATAAGTGTTATATACAAGATGATAGTATTAAAGGATAATAATCAAAATAGTGTTCGTAATGAATTTAATTAAAGTTACGAAATCTTTAAATAAAACATTACTAATACATGATATTCCCATTAAGAATGTGTGACGACCCTAACTTTTAATCATCCTCCTATGTTCATACTTAACCTCTACTACTTACTAGTTATAACCTCTTAAAAATTCAAGCCAAATTTTTTTTTTTCATTTTTACCATGTACATCTAAATGTTGTAGCATTTAGCTAGCATTCTGTTTTTAACTATTCGTAGAATGCTGTAGCATTCTAACAGCATTCTGTACATTAGTCATTCTCAAAATGCTGTAGCATTCTGACAGCATTCTGTTACATTAGTCATATCTTGTGACTAGAGGTTGCTATGCATAACCTCATTGTCTCGTAAGCTTAACTTTCGTTACATAAGTCATCTATATTCATAAAACACTATTTACTTTTTTTACATAAAGTTCAACAGCGTTTTCAAAACACGTGATGCATCATAACCCACTTGCCCACACTCGCTGCTACATCCTCTCTGCATGCCCAACAACAAATTTTAAGGAGCCGGTGCTTTACCTGTGCTTCCTACAACACGAACAAACTTAATGAGCTTTCGCTCAGCAAGTATCAATAGGTCATAACGGATGCAATAATTATGCATACCCATATATGCATTCATGTCATATATCCTAATACATTCTGTACTACTAAAACATGTATGGCTTATGTTCTTCTTCTTTCATTACATACTTTGTTCTGCTTTCGTCTTATTTAGTCGTTCACATTATTTTTTCACATTCTAAACGACTTTCATTATGTGTTTCTCATTCTTTTCATTCTACTTTATAGATACTATACCTTTATATGGAACGGTTTCTGTTTTTCATTTTCTTGTCTTTTACTTCTTATGGGCCCTGTCTTGTTGTACCATAGCGTGCATAACCAGTGAGGAGTGGGGTAGCTAACCAATCCAGCTCAGTCACAGTTTCATTTCTTTCATAGTCTCATAATAACCTTTCCTTCGAAGGCTGGTACAAATAGGATGTTTGGTCTCTTACAGTTTATCAATTTTCTCACTGAAACGGTAACTTTAGTTAAATCTTATGAATTTGTTCATTTTTGAGCAATTTATCATGAGATTGACTTTCGTTAAAGTTTAACTCTTTCTCTTAACTTGACATTGACTTATCATCGATACATACTTTCACAGAGTAAAGTTCTATGGCTAC